TTTTAAGTCTTGAAAATAATTGAATGTGTGAGTGTATGCGTGTTCATTTAGGTTATATAAGCTAAACTGATATTAATGTGATAAACTGGTTTTAAAACAAGTATTTGAGTTAACTGTTAACATATATCATTTGTTATCAATAAATAATATATTGCGATAATGATTGATATATTATTATATATCGATAAATAATATACTAATAATGATCAATTATTATCAATATAGATATTTATCGAAGATCATCAGAGTCATCGATTAATATCGATATCTCAGAGAGATATTTATTGATTTTTACAGATATGGTGATGATTCTCGATGAATATCTTCCCAAAAAATTTCCTGATGAATCATGGCATTTCATAGACCATATCCTAATCGAATATCTTGTGGACCAAGCTCTGATCGGGAATTAGAACTGGAATAGGTAAATCAAGCTTTAAGAGATGAGTTATCTAATGAAATTTCAATTAATAAGTCGAATGAGAAATACATAAATGAGCTGGAGTATAAATATATCAGATGTGAGAAAGAAATCCAATCTCTTAACGAAGAACTAGAATGGCTTGAGAATGCTTCAGATGAGGAAAGGGCAGAGTTAAGATCAGAAAACTCTAGCCTTTGTATACAAATCTATAATGCCAAGAAAGAGATTCAAGATAAGGTATCTCACATTGCTAATATAGAAAGACAGTTTCAAGAATTAGAAGAGCAAGTTCAAAATCTGAGACATAGAATCAAAGTTATTTCTTCCAAAAGAAGCTCTCCAAGCTTATATAATTTAGAAGAGGAAGATATAGATATGGCACATTTAAATTCCTTTACAAATATTACTAGGAGGTTAACTCGACTCAAAAACTATTTCAGAGGACATGGTATACTATTAAACAATTCTGCCAATATTGTTCAAGGTATGCATGGTACTTTAAATACTATTCGGACTAATTATCAAAGAATAGATCAGGATTTAGATAATATTGTAAATTAACGAGATGCTCGAGATGCTCAAATAGTACAATTACAGCATGATATTAATGGCTATAGATAACGAAATGGAGATCTTCAAAATCAAGTTAACCAGCTTACTCAAGAACGAGACACCTTTCAAGCTCAAGTAGCCTAACAACAACAAAACCTTGGATTATTAAATCAGCAAAATATAATTTTTCAAAGACAAATAGAGGAGATAGAAAAATATCATAATTTTTGGAAGTTAAACGCTATTTTTGTTAAAGCCCAAAAGGATAGGCGCATTAATTCATTATTGCATGAAAAATTTGCATTATAGCTTCTGAATAGGTGATCAATCTAGCGATTAGAAACTGTAGGTTGGAGTCTTGATGGGGCCATTATTTTGTTGAATTTTATGAGAATCCGTTATAAAAAATGGAAAAGAAAGTATAAAATGAGGGAGGGTGATCTATTGCTTGGAGACCTTCAGCTTGATATGTTGTATGGAGACTTAGATGATGAACAGATCCAAAATATCACCAACCAACAAATAATTAATAATTTGAATCAGCAAATTTTAGTGCTTCAGAATAATCTACCTATTAATAACCAACACACAGGAATGGCTAGATACGAACCACCAAAATTTCATGGATGGGCTAGAGAAGATCCAGAGATTTTTCTTACTGATTTTTAATGATGGTATGAGACTGTTAATTATGATCCAGGTACAGGTCATAACATATGAAGGAGAATTCATGGTATTTTTGAAACTTATCTATTGAATGACGCAAAAGACTGATATGAAACAAATGTCAAAGGCAAAAACTGGGAATTGGAAAATATTAGTGATAATTGTGGTGCTCATGCAACTCTTAATGCTCTTAGTGGATTGACTAATAATCAAATTCGTGCTATTAATATTAATCAGTTTAGAGATGAAGCTCTTCAAATTTGAAATACTGTATCAGCTGATGGGAATTCACCTGCTATACCACTAGTTTCAGCTCACACTGTATGACATGAAGATTGGCTAACATCAGGTAGGCGACCAACAGACTTGGCTCTAAATGCACCAAATGCAAATACAGGAGGTAATGTTATAGCTCCAAATATTTTTATCGGTCAAGTATTAAGTTATTTTAGATATGCATATCCCACAGTTACAGCTGAAAAATCACAATTAGTATTTAATACTCTTGTTCAAGGCTCTGATCCTGTAGGACGTTTCTATGCAAAGTTAAAAAGAATAATTATATTAGCTTATCCAGCACTTCCAGCATTGAATCAGAAAACAATGATTAGATAATAATTCTTACAGGGACTTTCTCCTGATAATAAACTAGAAGTAAGACATATTGGACTTGAACATCCTATTTCTTATCTGCTACCAAAATTAGAAAAAATCGAAAGACAAAAGGCCCAGCAAATGCTAGGTGAGTATATTCCAGATTCTCAATCATGAACTAAATCTACTACAAAAGATGTTTATACAAGTAATACTGGTATGAATAGAGATGAAATGGAAAGCTTTGTAAAATCTATTATAGCTTCCACACAATCTACTTCTTCTAAGTCTCAGGAAGAACAGTCTAATCAAATCATGCTTTCACAAAATGATTTCAAAAAAATTATAGCTGGTTTGAAGGGAATTATTGCTAAAGGATAGCAGATTTTAAAGAAACCTCCCAATCTTGGAAAACAAAAAGCAGATAATCTTGCTATAAACCGTTTTTTAAATGAGTTTATAGATAATACAAGTTTACCTGGAGAAGATTATGACTATAACCTGATTGAAGATTTGAGATTACAATTTAAGCAGATGGAAATTAACCAGGCAAAATTAGCTTGAGTAGTAAATGCTGTTCTAAAATCATCTCGACATAGGTGTTCAAAGTGTCATAGAGCTGGATATCATTCAAACTCTCTAAAATGCTCTAGAAATAAAAAGAAAAGCAAGTCTAGCTGTTCTTCAACTACCTTTGGCAAAAATAGATCTAAAAAAAGAGCTAAGGTAAATATTGCTAATATGGATTCTTCATCAGGATCAGATACTAATTCTTCTGATAATGAATCTAATTCTGATTCTGAATCTGGATCTAATTCGGGTTCTGAATTGGAATCTGATACCAAGAATGATTTAACTGAGACTGAAATTACGAAAATTATCAATGCTATCAATGCTGTCAAAGCAAAAAAAAAGTAAAGCCTAAGGAATTCAAGATCAAGAAAGAATCCAAACCTCGCAAGACAAAACAGAAGGATACTTCCACTTCTGGTAAGTCCAGAAATAAATTAACTCGTGTAGAACAGTCTCTCCAAAAAATTGTATTAGATATGCTTGAAAAAGCTTTACCTGCACATTGGTTAGAGAAACTGAAATCAGAAATTGAAAATCTATCCAAGCTCTTTAGGGATGACTCTATGAGTCATATATTTCCATCTACCAAAAAATCTGATTATAATGATTATCGAGAACCAGTTCCAGCATTATCCAAATCTGATAGGGAAGAAGAGATATTTAATGATCCCATGGAGATTGATTTTGTCCAAAAGAAAAAGCTGATAAGTCTCGCAACTATAGAATGTAAAATCAAGTACTTAAAAATACCAGCAATGGTACTTGATAGTGGTGCTGAGCTTGCAATTATATCAAAAGATATTGTTAAATATGTGGGTTGGGAAATTGATAAATTGGTAATGTATAATCTAAGTGGTATTGCTACTATTCCAACAGAATCTATTGGCATTACTCGTAAGTTACCCATAACATTTTCTTCAGGTTTCACTATACATGAGGATTTTGCAGTTGTGCGATCTCTCAAGTTAATCTTGATTTTCCTGAATTCACTTCTTAAAAAATATGAGTATGCGATTGATTAGAAGGACAATAAGTTAAAAATCCGTCATAATGACAAAGATTTTATTATTCCAATTAATATGCACAAAGCCAAGAATAAGGTTGAAGTAAATTGTGCAACCGCATCTCAGGATAATAAATCTCTGATATCCGATCAAATTTCTCAGGAGACAGATAGTGGTAAGAATGACAATATACTATTTGATAAGTGGTATACTCCTGCAGGTTTTAGCTTATTACAAAGTAATAGGACTCTGTTCCTAGATTCTGTCAATTCGACTTTAAAAAAAATGCATGAGCTATGAGGAACTCGAAAAAACATTATATGAGGTACTTGATTCTCATACTGAATTATTCGAGCTTAATAAAAAACTATGGACATATAGGAATGAGTCAGATATTAAAATACTATGTAAATTACAGACTACTCTAGAAAAAACAAAAATAGATTAGTTGGAATCTATGAATCTTTTCGACTCACGTTTACCTTCTTCTCTTTCTTTGTGATTTTGTGTAAGCTTAGCTTGTAGGTCATCCATTTCATCTACGTTTTTTATTGGATTATTGGTCATGTCAGTCTTATTAATAATATTGACTGAATCAGATATTCGAACAGATCTGGGATTAGATCCTGATTTTCTTTTCTTTGACCACCTATCTGAAGTATTATTTTTAGATATTACCTCAGAAGAAGCAACACTATGTATTATTTGTTGTTTGCGCAGGGGTAATCCTTGAGCATGTCTTTTCCAAATTTCATAAATTCTACAAGTTGAAGTATCATATTTATCAGCTATTTTCCTGCATGCATTTTTAATAGTCCTTCAAGATTGAATTATTTCCTCAATAGCTTCTGGAAATAGATAAGAAGTACCGGCGTGATAATATTCCACGGTTATGTGTTTCATTCTTTTTTTATAATTATAAAAAATTATCAAAGATTATTAAAAATACTAAAATATGCCTATATCTCTTATAATCAAAAATTATCAAAGATTATTGAAAACATCCTATATTCCTTATGATTGAAAAAGATCAGTAATTATATGTAATTACATACTTAATATTCAATAATTTTCTAAAAAAATTAGTAATTATCTGATATTGTTGAATTATATTAGAGACATATTTTTTTTGATAGCTTCACCAGATAAGTATATATATATCGTATGTCCCATATTTTGTTATTTTCCATAATATTTCTTATTATTTAATATGGCCAATGTGATAGACCTTAAGAAAGAATTATATGACGCCCTCCAAGATTCTTCTGAGATAGCTTCTTATAATGCTAAATTGCAAGATAAGTATGGAAAACAAGAAAAAAAATTTAATCAGGAGAGAGAACAATGGGATCGGGATAGAAAAAAGTGGAGTAAAAAACTAGGAGGGATTGTTACCAAGAATCAAAATCTGCAGTTTGAAAATGCTAGCAAAGCTATTTCTCTTGCTAATTCTAAATTTGAGATTGATATAAAATCCAAGGAAATTACAACACTTTGGTTTATGAAAAAAATATTAGAAGGTAGATTAACATCAGCTCAGAATGATGCAATTTTGATCCAGGAAGAGATATCAAAAAAAGAATCCGAGATCACGTCTCTCAAGTCTGAATTGGTAAATTTAAAGGATGAACTGGCCTTGAAAATTAGTGAACTTGGATATATAAAATCGGAGGATGTATCTTGTTCTGTGATTGAGAGAGTCAATGAAAAAAATATAACCAAGTCTGATGATATATCTGCAGTTAGTAAACCTAATAAAAATCTCAGTAAATATTTTATACGTGGAAAAAATATGGATGAGACCAAAAAAATTGATACATGTCTTGATAATAGCTCCGTTATTATGTTGGATCACACTGATGATGAAATTACTGAACCAGCAAAAGTCGATATCAAGATTATTCCTAAGATAAGTGATGAAACTAATAATAGCGAAACTAGTAAAGATATTATGTTAGATACATCTATAAAACCAGATATATCACCAATTATATCTGAGAATATGATCATATACCTTGCACAATGAGAAAATTATACCTTCTCTCTGATCAAATCACATTTTCAGATTTCAGTGGGAGGAATAGAAACAATTCCTATTGTGGCAAGCACTTTGATGTCACCTCTATTGGCATATATCTTTCTTACCTTGTTAATTATTGTAGTTATATAGTTCGTTATATTGAGACGTGAATGGGGGGTTGGTAAAAAAAGTGATCGGTTGCGAGATGTATGGGCTGAATAATGGGTATTATCTATTTGAACTGCGATATTATTTATATACGAAAAAATATTATTAATAATGTATAGGTATCTTAGTAGATTGTGGTGATCTTAGCTAAGAATACTTAACAATATAAGTTGACAATCTCATCAATATCTACTTCTGATGAATCGTCTTTTTTACTATTTTGTATAATAGATAGTGCTTGAAGATGTGCGATCTCAAGGCCGATTATCTTGTACCATATATTCCAGAAATCTATTAATGTTTCACACTCTGATTCCAGATTATATCAAAATATATATTATTCCAAAATTGTAATATCAGGCTTGTATTTCTGCGCTTACACAATTAATTCATATATCCCATTTCTATATTCCACATTAAGCTTAGACAATTTTGAAAGTAGATCTGATAACTTTAAACGGATAGAATCTGCAATTTTATCTAACATATTAAGATAGTCATTATACCTCATAGAGATGCCTGAAGGCCTGGTTATACCAGCTTTGCCAATACTGTGACATATTTTTTGAGCATGAGTAGTAGCATCTTTCCATAAATGGGAGATAATGATTTCATCTTTTTTCAGAGTATCACATAAGTTCTTGATATAATTTTTAAGCCATTTTTTAGCCAATTTCTGTGACTCTACATCTTTGATATTTGCTATTTCATCTAGACTCAGAGAGTCATTGCTTTGCAATAAATCCTTAACATTTTTCAATTTCTTCTCCTTTGATTTCTTTTTACGATCCAAGGCTTTTGCCAGAGATTCGGGTGATGGTTGGTATTTATCATCATAATTTATAAAATGGACATAAAGGGCAAATAAACTCTCCGTATAATAATCAATATTTATTTTCTTGTTAAACTTTTTTACCACATCTGGATATTCCATATAGTCTCCTTTTTTCTGTGATATTTTTTTTCTGCAATTATCATAAATCTCTTTGGGTACTACTACAATGTAACTAAATCGTTTATCAGGTTTGAGAACTTTATATAAATACTCATTGACAGATAAACCCTTCTTTATAAGCTGTTGATTTTCCAATACCTCGTGACTATATCTAGCCTCCATCTGTAAAACAAACCATTCTACAGAAATATTTCTTTGCTTATCCTCCTTTTTAGGTCTCCATATACATGTCTGAATAAATTCATCATAATCTAACTTGGAAAGTTTTTCTACATTTTCTCAAAGAACTTTTTCAACAATCTGATGTATCGTTTCCTCATTATCAACTTTCAAAGTTCTATCCATAATCTCCTCACCTACATTACGGAAGAGCTTAGATTGATCTCTTTTCACAATATCCACCCCTCTAATGAAAAGTTTACCCGGATTAAAGTTTGACTTATCTTTATGTTCCAGGCTATAGTATTTTTTCTTTCCTGTAAATATCACAGGAAATAAGACCTCCTCATATACCATATTGAGGTAAGATGTTCCATTGTTCTTTTTCAGCTCAGTATTTATATCATTACGGAGGTTCTTCATTACTCTCATAGAGATTTTTACCATTTCTCACCAGTACTCTTCTCGTGAGAGTTGATCCAATTTATATTTTTGATCATATTCCTGAAAATACTCTCCTGGATATGTGAGATATAAAGAATCGGTATCTCCATATTTGACATCGAATCCTTTATTCTCAATGAATTTTCTAACAAATTTAATATTACGCTTTCTAGCAGAAGTAACTCCATCCGCTAACTGAAGTTGATAGAATAGAGAGAGATTATTACCTGCTTCACCATAAAATGTATTCATATATAATTTTACTGTCTTTTGTTTTGAGTCTAAGCAACTATATTCGAAACTTTTCTTATCCAACTCATTAAGGTATTTTTTCATCTCCTTTCGTTTATTAAATAGGTTTTCTAACACCCTGGTATATAAACTCTTTTCTTCAGGTATATTATTGTGATGAATAGATCAAGCTTCTATAATTCGATCATTAAATGAAAACTCAATCTTGTGAAGTTTCTTTCCACTACGTAATGCATTTATCACATCTCCATAAGATAGTATAATCTTATCTGATGAAAGGTTGTAAGTCATCATAAGACTTGGATATAGAGAGGCAAAATCTAAACCTGTTACTGGATGTTTGTTTTCGAGACCCTTTATCGATGTAATAACATAAGCTTCTGGGTACTTACCAGATTCTGTATTTTCTGAAGCAATCATACTACACAACATATTACTACTCCAAGCTTCAGCTCCCAAAAGATTACATACTTTCATACCCCCCGCAAAATAATGAGAATCAGAGAGAGACACATATGCAATAGATGATACTTCCCTATAGTCATTGATTACATTATGCTTAACCATAAGCTCTTGGCACCACAATGCATCTATAACACAATAATTTGCAACTTTACACATATTTTTAGCTGATGTATCAGAGAGGTGAAATATTGTATCTTCATATATTTTGTTCATAGTAGTTATTGGCATATCCGCCTTGCTATCCAATCCACATTTT